ATGTGACCACTTAAAATTTGAAGGGAATTATTCAATCTGGATAGTTGATAATTGTTTTGCCATAGCTCAATGTCAACCCCCTAAAGGAATAATGTTTATTCTTGTTTTCTTAGACATAATTCAACTATTTCTAGATGTTGATATCTGTAGTGGCCCTAGATCTTGGTTTCCTTAAAAAAAATCATATCAATTGATACATTTGTCATTTATTCACAAATATATAGCAAATTGAATAGCCTCCATGGCTGAAACAGTAACATTTATTATGAATCAAAGGCAAAAGTGTAATTCTCTGTAGGGTAGTATTTTCCCCCTACAGAGAAATTTTGAAAATTTTCTTCACTGATGCTAACTGTATTCTCTGCCTTTCAGAATTCTTTTTATGATTTCTACATGACTAACATAATGAATCATAGCTACATCTTCATCATTCTTCAGCTATTCTATAATATCTATTCCTTCTACATAGTATAAAAAGAGGCCACAATTATATGAATTTGTTATAGTATTTTTGTGAGATTACCCTTAAACTGCATATTGTAGTTGACCTCTGTAATACACTTTACTGTATCTCAGAGAAATAAACATTTATTGACAATAGTAATTCTATTTGGTCCATCAATAGATGTAGAAGCCATCAATTTGGCTTCTACATATATTCACTTAGTATTGGGTTACACACATATACTTATACATAAGCACACTGTAAAGGGATCTTAAGGGCAAACTATAGTTTTATTTATATTTAAAAATTATTTATATTATTTATGTAATCATTTACCATTCTATTGTCTGTTTCTCCCATCTTTGTGATGAACTGCCACCATTAGACACAATGTTGTTTCTCTTTGATACTACTCACTTTCCTTTTCATCTCTTCATGTCTTCTTTTTTTTGGGGGGGGGGGCGTCTATGTCTCCTGCCTCTTATTCATTACTTACTGTTTAGTCCTTGCAAAGATTTTCTTTCACAGAGATGAATAGTCTTTACTTTTGTATACCAGTCAAATAATTTTGCTTGAAAAAATTGGTATTTAGCTTTCTAAGGACCACATGTTCTACATGTTGAGGGGATAGAAATTCCTTATTTATTACATTCTTTGCAATTTTTAGACAGTAAGACATTTTGGATACTTGCCTATTCTAGGAAGCTCATTACCACATAGCCAGGATCCTAGGGTCCTTAATATATATCAGTACCCAAAAATATTTTCTTATGTATGCCCTGTTTCATGTTTGGGGTGTTAATTTAATTTAAGTTCTAATGTCAACAACGATTTAATTCTCTAACTGAAAGAAGATCTACGTAACACAGTACCACTACGCCAATGATACCACTAACTGCTCCTAAAGTTGACTACAAGCTAATAGATTCCAAAGAGACCCATTTACTTTGTAACATAAAGAATATTTTAAGTTGCCTTTCCTTTAAACAAAAATGTGTTCCCATCCTCAAATTATACTCATTTATTATTAATTTCTTAACATGTTTCTGGTTTAGTTGATTATGCTTTATTCAAAGATACAGCTGTACAAAAATAAAAGGTAGAGGATAATGGAAACATACAGAATACAAAAATCTGATTTAAAAATTCATATTCTTAAATGAGACTTAAAATATTGAAATTGATGCTAAAGGGACATCAAATCATCTGGAAATAAAGGTATTTAAAATTCAACAGAAATATACATTATCTAAACTTAGGATTTTTACTATACTGAATTAATTAGTAAAAATGAATTTGTTCTATTCTTTTTATTCTAGAGATAAGTATTTTCAAATTTTAAATTGTATATCTAGGATGAATGACACATATATTACAAATGAAGAGCAGTCTGAGAATGAAACTTAAGCAACTTGAGGACCAATAAACAAAACTCAGATATTTGACCATTATTGTAATTCATTCAAATATTCAATAAAAACTCATCACAGAGTGAGGTCTTATACTGCATGCATTCATCCAATAAATATTTGGTGCCTATTACGTGTAAGGCATTGCGGGGGATACAATGAAAAATAAAACATGGACTTTGCCCTCAAGGGGCTTACAGTCTAGTATGGAAAAAAGAAACAAGCACATAAATAGCCATAACATCAGGTAGAAAGTGATGTGTCATAAGAAAAACTCAGATAATATGCTGTGGGAGTTATTAACACTAGTGGACGTTTTTTATTGTAGCATCTAAGTAGCCAATATAAATAGACCAATGAGTAGGCTGAAAATTAAGTGCCAAATTTTGTGAATTTATAAATGAAACAAGCTTTAACATTAATGCAGTTTTTGACTACCCATCAGTGCTTAAAATTTCTTGAACATGGAATAACAACCATGGTAATTAGAAATACCATTTTGCCATTGTTCATAAGTAGATGCAAATGGAATAATCTAACAGTTAGGGCTGAAACGATCATTTAAATTAAATAATACAGGTTCAAATCTATGATCCAAAATACTCATGACACATTACCTTCTTGCACAGAAAGAAATTGGCTCAGTCAGATTAAAGTGATGAAGAATTCCTCGATGGCTCAAGTGTGCTCCAAGGAAAGCTAGAAGGTTGTACAGTTAACTCCCAGGGTGTAACTCTAAACCATACAACCTACTACCTCAACCCGGATGCACACAGCTTCCAATGTTGCTTCAAACTCCTTATCATATCTTCAGTCAGCTCCTCCAAATATGGCGGCCATACACCTAAGGGCTTGGCAAGGATGTAGATATAATATTCTAGCATTTTATCAAAAAAACTTAAAATGTGTCTCATAGGGCTATCCTAAATCTCTTGGGTTTCTAGCATGGGTCACACAAAATGTCCTATGACATCTCTCCTGCCATAGTGTTACTAGCAATTAATAATATTAAAAGTCAATAGCATTCAGCCTTATTTTTCAGGAGAAATAGGCTCAGTAACATATAAATCCAGTTATAACCTTTAATTTTCTTATTGAAGTTGATGAGGTACACTAACCACTATAGAGTGCACTGAAGTTTCTGAACAAGATCTATTCAGATCTTGATCCAACCCCTGCTAAAAAAAAAATTCAACTTTCTTAAGCAATTTACTGCACTTGGAATTAAACTTGAATGGCTGTGCTATAAATGCTTCCAAGTGGTCAACAATTGAAGCCTGCCTCATAAGACAGATGACAATTAAAATATACATGAAAAACAAAGGAAAATATAATTACTTTAAGAGTATATATAGTCAACTAGAGTTTTACAGGAATTTATTGAAATATTACTGAGCAGCAACGTGTATAGCATTTTGTCAGATTACCGCACTGACACAGACCCATAGAAGCGAGCTTGTGCGGTCCACTTTACCACAAGATCGGATCTACGGGTTTATGCCAATGGGCAACATCTCACATGGGCTCCCTATTCTTGTAGAATTTGTTGTAAATATGGGAGGCAATTATGAGACAAAAGTGATAATATTGATTCTTTAGTATAAATGTTTTAAATTCTGAACTCTAAGGATGTATATTCCCCATTAAAGGCCTTCCTAAATATTCTAAATGAACTATAAATTTATATGCACGAGAATTTTAAAAGTAGTTTATTGAAAGTTTTTCACAGATTGCTTTTGTTTTAATAGTGAATATTTTGGAATTAAACTATTCTAATTAATGATGAGTTTTAAAAGAAAACAAAAGAATCCATACATGCATTATGAATTATGTAATTGTGAGGCATGAATGTAGTATTATGAGCCTATAATTAAAACCAAATTAACTATTAAGTTAATTGTGTGTGAGTTAGTCTGTGCTTATTTTAATTTTTATAAAACCTTAGTGGTTTCAAGAAATTGGTAACATTATAATTTTCTCATAAAACAAGTGAGATCTTGTTCACTAAGTAGAAAACACAGGAAATTATTATAAGCCTTAAATATATACATATGTGTCTATAGCTGGAATGATACTATATAGATGAATTAATATCAGAAAACTAAAATCAATGACACATTAATGATGGCATCATTACTACTATTCCGCACTAACATTTATACTCCAGATATATTACACGAAAGAGGGTATCTTTTTTCTTAAACAAAATATATTTAAATTTATTAATTATAAAAGATATACTTAAAATATATGCCTACGTATAACTTTCATCTGGTCAACAGGTTGGACAAAAATAAATCGTTACTAAAAAATTTTTAAACCATCAGACAACAAGCAAACACACAAATGAGTAAACATAAAGCCAGCCACATCCACCTTTTTAAAAAGATTTTAAACTCAACTGCAACAAGATTATAAGTTGTACAATCATGAATTATTTCACTCATATCTATAATCATTTAGCATTTCTTAATCATATCTTCATTGTGAAAAATACTACTACTACATACATGTTTTGAAATAAATAAAATGTCTCTTAAAGGCTTTATATAATTTGTTCTACATAATTTTTCACCATTATTTATTTTTAAATTGTTTTAATACTTATTAAAAACCTATAGTAAATAATGAACAATTATACATTCAGTGTTAGTGAAATATTTCAACATATATTTATAAACTTAAATGTGAAATGAAAGGCAACATTGGTTTTAGGTTTTATCATAACTGTAACAATGTTTTAGTTTCATTGTCTTATTAGGTCATGTAAAAAAGATAAAAAGGCATAACTTTATTTCCTTTCCCCAGATTTCACTTCCTATTATATGGCACAACAAACAAAAAAAATACAGTTTTTCTTTTTCCTAAATAGCTTTCTATTCAACCATATTGCACCTATGTCATATGTATGGATATACAGGTACATACTCAAAGGGACGCAAACTGTACATTGATCACAAACTCGGGCAAAATTTTTCACAAAGACAGGTAATATTATAAACTCTCAAATGAAAACCATCAACGAAAATTCCACCAGCTAGATTCATAAAGAATATGAAATGAATTATAGCTAAACACAGTCAAAAGAATTTTGTTTTCCTTTAAACATATTATATATTAATTGCTTTTTTGTTTTTTATTTTTACCTGAGATGATTTTCTCCTATGATCCCTTTCTTCACTTTTCATATCCATTTTAAGTTTTTCCCTAAAACAACCACAAAAGGAGAAATATCAGACAACTGCTGCCTAGGAGGAGCAACTGAGTGGATGGTGGAAATGAGAGTTGATGATCGAGAAGAAAACACAATATCAAAATGGGCAAAACCGTTTAAAGTATTAAAAAAAAAAAAGGCTTGGAAGACTCATAGGGCCCCACCCAAGGCTACTCATATGACATATAAAGTGGTTTCATAGTTTGCATTTATGCGTTCATTTTGGTTGGTGTTGTTTTCACAGTAACAATTTTGAAAGTGAAAGAACGATGGCTCTTAAAGAAGCGACCAGGTTTTGCACAATGAAGTAGTGAAAGCTGAAAAGAGATTTGGATTTGGCATGGAGCTTAATAAGATAATTAAGAGTGTAGAGATTAATGGCACCTAAAAATAACATTTAAAATAATGTTTTTAAACTAAAGGATCTTGAAACATGGAAACAGGTTTATCAATATTAATTAAGCCTGTGAAAGTTGGCGTTCCATTAGCTGAGGCGGCATGGAGGAACAAGAGCTATTTTGTAAATAATTAGTGAACAATAACCAATAAACCTGATAAAATGTTTTATTTGAATGTTATCATTATATAAGCTTTTTGTAATTTTCCATCATTCTTCATAGAATAGCAAAAATGAAGGCAGAATTCATCAGTTCTATAAAATTTCTCATTGTTTAACCTATATATTTTTGCTATAATAAAATATGATTTTAAAAGCATAACAGATTACATAAAGTTTATTTTCACTGAAAATATTATAGCATCAATTGTTAATATGCAAACTGTAAGCTTCATTGATATATGCCGTATTTTTCAAAAGCATTATTTCTTTTTTAACAATTTTTACACATGTTTAAAAACATTTTTTATCAAAATTAAAATAGGTGGAATGCTTATGCTAATCCTTTCACATTGAACCAAGCAAAACTGGGTTTTGTTATAAAATGCTTAAATTGCTTAGCAATTTTCTTCTACAAACAGACAAAATAATTACAATGCAATGCATTTATCTGCTAAGCCAATACATTGCTTTGAACTTAAAACAAGTTTGTATGTACTTTTTCCACTAAAATACTTAATGGATATTTCCCTGCTCTTTGCAACTGCTCTAGGACAAATACTTCTCTTTAAAATGTATTTTAAAAGAGAGTATTATTATGGTACAAGCTTCTTTTCTATTAGCAACTGAGAACATGATCTTTTCATTCCTATTTCTGCTCTACTGAAATCCTTGTAAATAATTTAAATATAGCTCCCCCCAAACAACTTTATTTATCAATAGTTTAAAGCATATTCTAATATGACCCTTTTCTAGAAGTTCAAAAAGTTTCTTCTTCCACATTTCAAATTATGAATCACATGAAAAATTTACTTTCTTTACCAAGTAGGTATGAACACTCACTTTTCTTAGACAGCAAAACTAATACTTGACACGAAAAGCACAGATAACACAGTAATGTCTTCCCAAAACTTCTGTGTGTAACAAAAATAAAAACTGGTACCATTTTATTCATAGAAATTTTTCTATTTTCACTTAAGTTTCTATTCTAATCAGGATTAGAGCAAGAGAAGAAAAGGAAAAAGTTAATAAGAGTAAAGTGGGTGATGAGTTAAATAAGAGCAAACTGAAAGTTCAAGGATCCCCTTTTATATAACAGTAGGCTTTAAAAGAAACAACAAAAAAGTTATACCTGATATGAAAGGTGCGATTTCACCAAGTGCAATATATTGCTAATTATGCCATATTGTTTGAAATAATAAAAATAAAGAAGGCTCATTTGGTTATGTTGCCTTAAAAAGCTGCTTTACAAAGCCCGATGTCTCTGTAGTTATACAAGCCAATGTTTGCTTTTTTTGGTTTGTTTTGGTTTGGATTTTTGTTTGTTTGTTTTTGTTTTTGTTTTTGAGCAGGAGCGTCTCATTTTTTTCAGCACTCTTGCATGTAGTAGGACAAACTCAGATTTTTTTCTTCAGGGCTCCTGTTATTTCTCAGAAAAGAAGGACCGGGGTGCTTGTCTTCTTTTTCTTCCTTCTCGGTATTCCAGGCACAAAGCACTGCGCAGAAGCTGCACCAATCCTTGCCGTCACTGGCAGCAGAATGGTAGAAGGTGGGAGAGACCAGGAATCCTTCCAGGCTGTGCTGACTTTAGAAATGAGGATTGCACACGTTTGTCTCCTGAACCAAAGGGGTGAAAAGGCAGGGTGCCAGTTTGCTACACTGCTGCAATGCAATGATCTCATGCTCACTGCTGCTGTCGTCCTGTTTGCCCAGTTCAAATGCCTGTTCATTATAAACCAAAAAAAAAAAAAAAAAAAAAAAAGACCCAACTACTTGGATTCTTCAGCAAGCAGAAAGGGTATTAACATTAAAAAAAAAAAAAATCAGCAGTCAGAGAAAGCAAAAAAAAACCCCAAACAAACAAAAATAAAAAGCACATACAATTTTAGGATTCACTTGTTATGCCTCAATATTCTGTTATTATTTTCCTTTTTTTTTTTTCTATTTAGAGATAAGCAGCAGAATTTATCAGGCGTGAAAGGGACAGCCTCCTGGTGGCCTGCCAAAAAACCCAGAATAAAGGCGAAGTTGTGCTTCAAAGCTCAGTCGCTTGCTGAGTCTGGCTAAAGTCAAGTATTAAGATCCACCATTTTCTGAGCCATGCTAGAAAAGAAGAAAAAAGTCAGGACGGTTGCTGCTTTCCAAGTCTCTGTTGGCACCATCACAAAATCTCAGTCGTAAGGTCACATGATTCTCTGCCAAATGTAGAGTGCATTCCCATCAACCATTCTGCTGATACTGCGAAGGCAGCTATTGTCTCGTTTAGACCCAAAGTTCAGCCCACTCTTCATTGAATTAGCTGAAAAACGCATCACCTTTGGGGGCTGGGAGTCATGGAAACGTCTACCTGGCAAGCTGCCCACTTTTTCTGCCCATCAACCAGAGATGGAATTGTGCTGCCTAACGCAATGATGACTTGGAATGTGAAGAGTCGTCCAAAGTGAATCTGATTCTTGCAACGCCTGTTTCGTTTGCACAGAAAACTCTGGCTTCTTGTAGTTAAGAGAGGAAAAAAAAAATCTTTCCTACCAAATGTAGCAAATAAAGGTCTGAACATGCCTACTCTGCAACTTTATTTCTTAACACACCCAAATGGTTCTCAAATAAAAAGACTGAATGCCCTGCAAGTTTTCTGAGTTAAAGGCACCCCTTCGTCTGTCTCCTTTTCCTTACAAGTGAATGCAACAAGCCCAGAACATTTGTTTTAGTCTCTCACTTTAAGATTTAAAAATCTCTGAGTTTTCTTCTTGATTTTTATTACTTTCTGATTTTATCTGGCACCCATTTTGTACCTCATGGCCACAATATCCTCTAGCAACAGTGGGGATGCAGTATTGCTGCAATCTTCAACAAAGTGGTCCCCTGAGAAAGCCAGTTGTCTCTTCAACCACACAAAACCCTTCATTGGGTCCAGTGGTAAGCTTCCTCAGTACCTAGCACAGCTGTTGTGCAAGTTTGCTGAGATTGACACACGTGAGAAATGCTCTTTCTATTTCTTCACTGGCTACTGTTTGCCTGTGTGGCATGAAAGATGCTTTTGAAAGATGCAGGGACTATATAAACAGCTATTAGGCAATAAAATGAAATGGTTCCCCCTCCCCAACGAATTTCCATTCTAGTGGGTAACGAAAGTTCCCATGTACAAACATTTCCATACTTTCTAACAAAAGTAGAGTGAATTAAATCTTTCAAAATTTCCTTAAGCAGAATCTAAAACCAAGCAGGAAAGCAAGCACTATTAGTACTGAAATCAAACATACTGAGTAGCACTATAAAGAACCATGTCCTGCTACTCCATTAAAAAAAAAAGTTGCAATATTAGAGGACCTTTATCTAAAGTATAATTATGTTTGTAAAAAAAATTGAAATTATATTGTGTGCCTTACCAAAATGATGGATTAACATTACCCCTCCCCATGTATAAACACATTGCACAATACATAACAAAGATTTTAAAAGACATTCAAATTATAACTTGCTTGATAAAAGGAAATCATGCCCTCCTCCCACAAAAAAAAAAATTTAAAAAAGGTTCAAGGATCTAGGAAAGATATCCTAAAATGGTTAATGGTTATTTTGGTGCCATATCCTTCAGATGACTTTCTTTAGGAGCAATAGGAGGGAATTTGCACATAAACATGTGCACACAGGCACACACACGGGAACCATCAGGTTGTCCCCCCCCCCATTTGTAATTCAAAATGTACACAATTCTAAACCATAAGACAAAAAAATATATGTTGAAAGTAAAATTGCTTTTTCCTAGATTGCAAAATTCTAGACAAATTCTACTGGTGTCTTAAGTACAAGCTTGAAGAGTGTTTTTTGGGGAATCAAGCACAGCAGACACTCATGTTCTACATTTCAGCACAGCAAGAATAGAGTAGACAACCCACTTATGGAAATGAAAATTTAAATTTCTAGTTCTCATTCATCTATTCAGCAGATATTTATTAAGTGCTAGTACATGGTAGGTCTTATGATAGGCACAGGGGAACAGCAATGAACCAAATAGACATGACTCCCATATCATTTGATAAGTACTTCAAAGGGAGAAAAACTCGCTACCAAACAGAAGTGTTTCTGGTCCTAAAAGAGACAAACTGGTGGAAACTGGAAAGTGGAAGTGAAATGGACGTTAAAAAATAAATTACAGTTGGAGGTATTTTCTCTGACTGATGTTTTCCCATTTTAATATTAAATTCATTAATTTATTTTTTAATAATTCTGTTTAATTTTCTTAAATAATCTAATGTGAAAATGGTATGCTTCCCTCCCAAGTAAAAAAAAAAAAAAAAAAAAAAAAAAGACTTAAAAAAAAGGAACAAAGAAACAGGAGACTTTTGCTTCTAGGAAGATTGTGTAGACATAGCTGCTTCTAATTCTCCAGCTAGGTACAATCAAAATCCCTGGACACTATATAGACATCAAATGTAAGGAGACTCTGAAAGGTAGAGAGAAGATGACAAACTAGCTTAGGACTGCAGGACCCAAGGAATGACATGAATTTTCTTTTTTACTTTATCCCTCCAAAATTTGAAGCTACACAAGCCTGAAACTCACAAATGTCAACCGGTGCAGTAAAGAAAAAGTCCTCACAAAAGACTGTTTTCTCTAGCCAAAGGTCCAAGAAAGGAGCAGCCTCGAAAGACAGAAATTCAGGACAATACCATTTTACTCCAGTCAAACGCCATGAAAAGAACCGTGGTCCCATCTCCACCCACCCTTGCAAAGACTGAATGGGGAGTCTAGACATTGACCCTTGACAGGCTAAAACAAGGTGCCACAACACTCTTTCCTTCCACCCTCCAGAGTAGTGTAAGATAAGTCTGAGTAGGGAGCTAAGAGCTTCATCCCTGTAGTGGGTATCAAGCTTCCTCCCCACCCCAAAGTGTCAGTGGAGACTACATGGGGAGCATGAAGTTCTACTACAAACCCAACAATAATAACTCATTCTTCTTTCTCCCTGCTGAGGTAGTGTCAGAGGAGGCCTAGCTGAGATCCAGGACATTAGAAACTTCCCAGTAGTATAAAGGCCTCCCTATAATCCCTCAACTTCTAAGGCACTGTTGGAGGTCATGATGGGAATAACAAAGCACTCCACCCTTCCCAGCCAGGGAGGTATCAGTGGAGCATTACTTGGGATCAGGAACACAGGAGCAGGAGTTACTTCTATCTATATGTGGCAGTGACAGGTGGCACCCCCTGCTTCCTCTGTTGGAGTGGTGTAGGAGAAAGCCAGCTAAAACAGAAAGTTTAAGTAAGAACCAAAGTCATGTATATAATATCTAAAATGCCCAGGTTTCAGTTGAAAATAATTTGTTATACAAAGCGGAAGCAAGATTTCAAACTGAATTTTAGAAAGACTATTAATGAGAGTGAACATCAAGATTACAGAGATATTAAAATCATCTCACAAAAATGTTAAAGCTGTCATCATGAAAATGCTTCAATGAGCAATTATGAACATGGTTAAAAGAACAACAAAAATAAAAGTCTTAGCAAAGAAATGAAAGATACAAAGAATAACCAGATAAAAATATTAGAACTGAAAAACATAATAACTGAAATTAAAAAAAACAAAACTCAATGGATATATTCAACAGCAGAGTGGAGAGGGCAGAGGAAAGAATCAATGAACTGGAAGATAGAACAATAGAAATTACCCAGTCTGAACACAGAGAGAAAATATACTTTAACAAAAAGAAAAAAAGAAAAAGAAAAACAGAGATCTAGGCAACTGTGGACCTATAACAAAAGATAAAACATTGTATTTGTGTTACCAGAGTCTGAGAAAAACAGAAGAGGGCAAGTCTCAAGATGTACTCAACGAAAGAATGGTTGGAAACTTCTCAAATTTAGCAAAAGACATACAGATTCAAGAAGGTGAGCAAACCACAAACAGGATGAGCCCAAAGAAATTCACAATGAAATACATCATAGTTAAACTTATAAAAACTAAACGTAAAGAAGAAATCTTGAAAGGAGCAAGAAAACAACATAATCTTACCTATCAAGGAAAAATGAATGGGTTTCTCATCAGAACCATGGAGGCCAGAGGGAAAAGACACAACAACATTTTCAATTGTTGAAAGAAAAGAACGATCGACCCAGAATTTTATACCCATAATAAATATGTTTTTGGAATGAAGGGAAATTAGGACATTGTCAAATGAAGAACACTAAGAGAATGTATGTGTCACCAGTAGACCTACCTACCCTGACAGAATAGCTGAGGAAGTTGTCTAAATGGAAAGGAACCGATAAAAGAAGAAAACTTAAAACTTTACAAGGGGAGAAAGAATTCAGTAAACACAAGTATGGGTAAACATAATAGATTACACAAATATGGGTAAACATAATAGGTTTTCCTTCTCTGAAGTTTTCTAAATTATGTTTGATTGTAGAAACAAAAACATAGCACTGTCTGATATGGTTCTAAATGTATACAGAGGAAATATTTAAGGTAATTATGCTATAAATGGGTAAGAGTACAGGTACAAAAAGGTAGATAAGGTTTCTATACCTCATTTGAACTGGTAAAATGAAGATACCAGTAGACTATGATAAGTTATATATATGCAACATAACACATAAAGCAACCACTAAAAAACTTCACAAAGAAATACACTAAAAAATACTAGATACATCAAAATTCTAAAAATTCCAATGTTTGTTCAATTAACCCAAAGCATGGCAGGAGAAAGAAACCATAAAGATTTAAAAAAAAAAAAAAACAACACAAAATAAACAGAAAACAAAGAACAAAATGGCAGGCTTAATCCATAAAACTAAATTATTGAATTAAATGTAAATTGTCTGACTACACCAATGAAATGGCATAGATTTGCATAGTGAAATAAAAATCATGGTCCAATTATATGCTGTCTACAATGAATTCCATTTAGATATAACAATATAAACAAGTTGAAAGTAAAGGATACAGAAATACATACATATCAGGCAATCATTAATCAAAAGAAAGTGGGAGTGTCTTTATTAATATCAAATAAAATGGACTTCCAAGGATAGAAAATTACCAGAGACAGAGCTAGACATTATATAATAATAGAAGGAATAATACAACCAAAAGCCATAGCATCCTTGAATGTGTATACCCCAAACAAAAGAGCTGCAAAATATGTTAAAAACTAGTAAAATAGAAAGGAAAAATAGACAAATCCACAATTACAGTTGTATACTTCAAGACACCAATCTTAACAATTGACGTAACAACTAAACAGAAAATTAGCAAGGATATAGAAATCAAGAAATCATCAATCAACAGGATCTAATAGACATTTATATAACATATTACCAAACAGCAGCAGAATACACATTCTTTTCAAGTAACCACAAACATATTCCAAGATAGGCCATATCCTGACACATAAAGCCAATCTCAATAAGTTAAAAATAATTGAATTCATACAGAGCGTGTTTTCTGACCACAATGCAATCAAACTAGAAATTAATAACAGATAGATAACAGGAAAACCTCTAAACACGTGTAAACTAATCAACAAACTTCTAAATAATTTATGTGTCAAAGAGAAAGTTTCAAGTGGAAAAAAAATACATTGGAGTGAATGAAAATCAAAATACAATGTGTCACAATTTTGGGGACACAGCTACAGCAGTGCTCAGAGGGAAATTAATAACATTAAATGCACTAGAAAACAGGTAAAGTTTCAAATCTATAATCAAAGCTCCAAACTTAAGAAGAATAAGAACAGCAAGATAGACCTAGAGGAGAAAGGAAAGGAAATAAGAGCACAAATAAACAAAATCAAAAAGAGAAAAACAATAGATACAATCAATAAAACAATGAGTTGATTCTTTAAAAAGATTGATAAAATAAAAATTGGTAAACTTCCAGCACAACTGATAAATTTAAAAAGATACAAATTATCAATATCAGAAATTAAACAGGGGATATCACTACAGATACTGCAAATATAAAAAGATAATAAGGGAACACTAAAAACCACACTAAATACATAAATTCGACAGCTTAGATGAAATGGGACCAATTCTTTAAAAACACAAATTACCATAACTCATTTCATATGAATTATATTATTTAAATAGCCCTATAACTATTAAGAAAATTGAATACGTAATTTAACAATCTCTCGAAAAGAAATCTCCAGGCCCAGATGGTTTCACTGGATAATTCTAACAAATATTGAAAGAAGATATAACAGCAATTCTACACAATCTTTTTGAGAACATAGAAGATGAGGAAACATGTTCCAATTAATTTTACAAAGTCAATATTACCCTGATACCAAAATCACACAAGGCAGCACAAAAAGAGAAAACCATAGACCAATATCCCTCCTAAATATCGAAATAAAATGCTATAACAAAATTTAATAGCAGCAAACAGAATTCAGCGATATATAAAATGAATTATACACAATGACCAGGTGAGGTTTATTCCAGAGACACAAGGCCAGTTCATTGTTTAAAAAATGAATGTAATCTGCCATATCAACAGGCTAAAGAAGAGGAGTCACATGACAATATCAATCGATGCAGAAAATCATTTGACAAAATTTAGTACCTATTCATGACTAAAAATTCTCAGACAACTGGGAACCAGAGAAGAGCTTCCTCAACTTGGTAAAGATCTTTTACCAAAAAAAACCCAACAAAAACCTATATTAGCATTATAGTTAATGATAAAAGACCAAACAGTTTTCCCCTAAGATCAGCAACAAGACAAGGATGCCTTCTCTTACCATTCTTATAAAACATTGCACAAGAAGCTCTAGCTAGGGCAATAAAAAGAAAAAAGAAAAGAAAAGTTAAAAGTGCAATACCATTTATAAACCATTCACATAAATGAACTAGTTAGGTGTAGATATAAAAAAAAGAACATGTATAAGACTTGTATTTTGAAAACTACAAAATGCTGATGAGAAACCTGAGAAACCTGATATCTGGAGAGAGATATCATGTTTATAAATTGCAAGACCAACATAGTAAATATGTCAGTTGTCTCCAAATTGATATATAGGTTTAATGCAATTCCTATAATCAAAATCCCAACAAGATTTGTTATAGATATAGATAAAATTATTCTAAATTTTATATGGGAATGCAAGAGAACTAGAATAACTGAAACAATTTGGGGGAAAACAGAATTAAGTGGGAGGAATTATTTGATTTCAAGACTAATTAATAAATTGGTATATTATAGCATACCATAATATAGTAATATTAGGTATAATATTATATATAATAGTAATAATAAATATTGCTTGGTTCTAATCAAGATTGT